CGAAGAGTTTCGGACAGAAGTGCGTCAATGAATGGTAGTCTCGACAGCACTTCGTAATCGATTTCTCCCTTTTCATTGAACGCCTCTTTCGTCTCCTCATAGAGTCTGTCCTGAAGTGTAGGATTGATGGCTAACTCATACGTACAGTACGATAGAGTAGTGGCAGTTGTCTCATAACCGGCGGCGAAAAAGAGGAAACATTGCGCTAATATCTCGTCTTCAGTCAACTTCTTCTCCAACACATCCCTGAAGGCCTCGACATCGGCTGTGATCTCATCCTTACCCTCATTTACATGATGTGCTTCATTGGCATCACTGGCCTCTCGGATATCGCCATCACTTCTCTCGACATCCATTAATAACTGCAAAAAATCGTTATGTTTTTCATTGTTTTTCTTTCGTTGTTTTACTAGACTTCTGGTGAAGTCAATGAAGAAGTCAATGTCAGAAACGCCGGGACTTAAAGTTCGGCGGTATATATCAGTGTTTACTATAAATGAAGGCAAAAGCAATTGTAACATCCCTTTCCAAATGGGGACATTGAACAGATTGGCCGCTTTGCTGGTGAACGGATTGTTAGGATCGGCGTATGTATTGGTTTTGGTAGCGAAGGCACAGCTGGCGATCACATCCATAGTGTAGGCGCCCATCAGTTGTTTCAACTCGACTTCATTCATACCATTCGACACATCCTTATCCAGGCTATCGATGAAGTCTTTGCAGCAATGGTTGATCAGAGCATACATTTTCCGCATCTTTCCAGACGAAAAGGTAGGGCTGGCTATAGCCCGGACTCGTTTCCAGTCGTCATCCCTCGCACTAAACATATTCTTTGCGGTCATTCTATTACGTCCGGGAGGTTGCCGTCGGTTACGAAATGAATGGAAATCTTTGACCAGAATTTGTTTGATGAGCTCCGGGTCGGCCACTGTTAGGACGGGCTTACCCATACTGAACACCCTATTCATTACAATCAAAAGGTTTTCATTTGAAATAAATTTAAATTATGAGTTGTTTTCATGCTATGTATACCCAAACAGTTTGCCGTATTTCTTATACCACTCCATCTCCACATATGGTCGCGGTTTTAGGACAGGACTCAAAACATTTCCGAATATAGGTATGGGTTTTGGACCAGAAATCTGTCGGTTCTTCCAATAACTTAAGGCATTTTTCCACGAACTGAATGAATGAATGAATGAATGAGTACTTAATTAGTAATTGTAATCAATATAAAGTGGATTTAAATGATATAAAGTGGATGTCTTACAAGTAATAATAGGCGAGTACCGCCACAATGAGTCCAATGAGACACCACTCATACACCTGTGATATCGGCGCCAACACTGACCACAACAAAACTGTCATAATTGACTCGATGTTTGGTATAATATAACTATTTTAATTAGAATTGCTCATTAAAGTATTAGTGAAGTTTTGAAAATGTTTACTGTATCCTTTTATAGCACAAATGAGCACCAATAATTTTTTGCACCAATTTAGTGCAACTCCGATTGACAATAAATGATAAGATACGGGTACTTTTTCTGAGTAAACATTAGATATATTGAGTGCAGCTTTGTAGGAATCAGTTTGGTATTTAGAAATAACATATTCACATTCATGGTATTATTGTGATGATTATGTTTAAATAAATGGTAAAAATGTTACATATTATTTATTACAGTATCAGATATATATGTATACTACTCATATTTTGTGCAATTAAGTATAAATAGATATTGAAATTTTAAATAAATTCAATTATTATATATTTAGTATAAAAATTAGTCAAGTTTGTCTATTTATATTGTAAGTACAATACAATCAATAAAGTGTATACACTATTCAACACTTCTTATGAAACAATACATTATAACAAAATAATTTGTATCAAACTGTATAACTTAATTTATCAATTAGTAATATCCTACTAAATATACACCCAAATAAGGTTATCGTTTCTGAATGCCGACCACAAGTCGTTTTGCCTGACAGAGAGCCCGACCCTTATTGAAGACTACGGGGACGTCAGTGTCGGTGACTCTGGAGAAGCGGAACGAATGTGAGATCAAAGCTAACGCGAGCTTTGCTGACAATAACGCGAATCGCATTCCAATGCAATGCAGTGGATCCGATCCGAAAGGCAGGTAAGTGTAGGCTTTGATATCATCCCGGTTTTCGGGCATTTATAATTTAATGTTTTGTAATACTCCAATAGTTATAAACAAGTTAACATAAATAAAATTCTTATATGAAATTCGATAGAAATTCTGTATTAAAATGAATATATATTTGTATATTTAATATATAAATACAATAACCCTTACATAACAGTAAATGTCTTTATTTGCTAATTAATCTTTAAGTGTTTACCTAATTATATACAGAATTTGATAACATTTTTATATTATATAGAATTTGATAAGTATATATCATATAAAAATTCATTATAGCATTACAGTACTATAAAATAACTTGAATTACATTAATTATTAAGACATCAATTGATATCTTATTAAGTATTTACACCAAAACGGTCTATCGTTTTTGAATGCCTACCACAAGCCGTTTAGCCTGTAATAGGTTGCGGCCCTTCTTGAAGATCAGCGGGACGTCAGTGTTGGCCACTCTTGAGAACCGGAACTGCTGTGAGATCTTAGCTAAGGCTAGCTTTGCCTCCAATAATGCAAATCTCATTCCAATGCAATTTCGTGGACCCGATCCGAAAGGGATATAAGTATACGGTTTGATGTTTTCCCGGTTTTCNAATAGGATCCGTCCCTTATTGAAGACAACGGGGACGTCAGTGTTGGCCACTCTTGAGAACCGGAACTGCTGTGAGATCTTAGCTAAGGCTAGCTTTGCCTCCAATAATGCAAATCTCATTCCAATGCAATTTCGTGGACCCGATCCGAAAGGGATATAAGTATACGGTTTGATGTTTTCCCGGTTTTCAGGCATAAACCTATCAGGGTTGAATGTGAATGGATCCGGATAGTGCTCGGGGTCGTGATGTATGGCATAGACAGGGATTTCGGCGATCACTCCCTTCTCGATCTTCACTCCAGTGTCGCCTAACTTTATGTCTTCCATGGCTTCCCTCTCGAGTCGAATCGCTGGCGGATGATTGCGAAGGGTTTCTGATACGAGTGCGTCCAGGAAAGGGAGTCTCGACAGCACTTCGTAATCTATTTCTCCCTTTTCGTTGAACACTCCTTTGGTCTCCTCATAGAGTCTGTCCTGAAGTTCGGGATTGAGTGCCAACTCATAGGAACAGAACGACAGAGTAGTGGCAGTTGTCTCGTAACCGGCGACGAAGAAGAGGAAACATTGCGCTAATATCTCGTCTTCAGTCAACTTCTTCTCCAATACATTACTGAAGGCCTCGGCGTCAGCTGTGATCTCATCCTTACCCTCATTCACATGATGTGCTTCATTGGCATCACTGGCCTCTCGTATGTCTCCATCAGGTCTCTCGACATCCATTAATAGCTGCAGAAAATCGTTGTGTTTTTCTTTATTATCTTTTCTTTTCTTCATAAGACTTCGCGTGAAATCGACAAAAAAGTCAGCACTAGAGCCACTAACGCCTATAAGCTTACGGTATATATTACTGTATACAATAAAAGTGGGCAGGGTCATTTGCAACAACCCTTTCCAAATGGGGACATTGAACAGATCGGTCGCTTTGGTGGTGAACGGGTTGTTAGGATCGGTGTATGTATTGGTTTTGGTAGCGAAGGCACAGCTGGCGATCACATCCATAGTGTAGGCGCCCATCAGTTGCTTCAACTCGACTTCATTCATACCATTCGACACATCCTTATCCAAGTTATTGAGGAAATCTTTGCAGCAATGGTTAATCAGAGCATACATTTTCCTGATTTTTCCGGACGTGAAGGTAGGGCTGGCTATCGCCCGGACCCGCTTCCAATCGTCATCCCTCGCACTTAACATCATTTTGGAGAACACGAATTTACCGCTGACAGATGGCCGTCGGTTACGAAATGCATTAAAATTTTTGACCAGAATTTGTTTGACGAGCTCCGGGTCGGCCACTGTTAGGCATGGTTTCGCAAACGTGAACACTCTGTCCATTAGATTAGACTTATTGACAAATTGACTCATAATTAAGATAACGACTTATAATACGTACCCAAAAAGTCGGCCGTATTTCTTATACCACTCCATCTCCACAAATGGTTGCGATTTTAGGACAGGACTCAAAACATTTCCGAATATAGGTATGGGTTTTGGACCAGAAATCTGTCGGTCCTTCCAATAACTTAAGGCATTTTTCCACGAACTGAATGAATGAATGAATGAATGAATGAATGAATGAATGAAT